CCAATACCTCGATTCCAGTAATAAAATATATTAAACATTTAATGGGAACGTGAAATATGATTTCTCTTTCCTGTCATCCAGGCGGCTGAGCAGTCTTACTATCAACCTACATTCCAGTCCAGACATGATGATACCAAATAAAGATTATTACTGATACACAACTTCGGACTTTGATGCGTTTAGAGGAATTTTGAGAATTTTGGCAAATCAGAACTACGATCAGAAGCGAAACAGAACAAATCTCTGAGCTCAATATTAAAGTCCAAGTCGAACCAGTTCACTAACATTATCGTGTATTTCCTTACAGGAGTTGGTGAATCCTTATTATCCTTATTATGAAAGTAGAAACACAAAAATGAAGTTCGCCCGAGTCGAAATATCTCGAAACGCGTAGGACTAATTCCTCATTGGTCAACTCGAACCGCCAAATTCAAATTGGGCGCTCGGAGTGCGCAATAGGTCTCGTATATAATTATTTTAGCTCGTAAAATACTCGAGTTCTTCTCATCCTTCACCTGACACTCTTCTGAGTGAGCGAATCTCTCAGCGCTGTAGTCAAAGTTGAAGTGATCCAATACGGGTAGAAGAAAGTGACTGGCCAAAAGGAAATGAAAGTTTTACTGGAGTTTAACCCCCGGGGTAAAGTCAAAACGTCACAGCAATTATTCATTAACTTTTCTTAAGTGAGTGAATCTTTTATTAAATATTGGCAACTTTAGTCAAAAGGCTGAACATAAACTACGCATTTTTTTCTTTTTCCTAATTCCATTTTCGTCAAGGGGCCACGCGATTTCTTATATTTTATCATCAACTATTATTTCTAGCATTCCTGAAAAATTACAATGAATTTAAGGAATAATAAAAAAATAAATACATTATAAAAACCATAACGAAATGTATATTATAGATTGAAGGAGTATTTGACCGATAATTATTTTGATGGGAAAATAGGTTGCAGAGAAATAATATCCGGGCATTCCTTTTATGGAGAAAACAACTCTTTAAAACTTAACAGTGACGAGAAAAGTGATTTTACGATACAAGTGAAAAAACCGCTTGGTTTTGCACGTTTCTTACAACAAAAAACGACTTTTTTTTTACGAGACTCATAAAATTTTGTACCATATATATTTGACAAAAAGCATTTTCTTATAATTACAGTCTTCATCTCGGACTGGGCCGGTAACTCTGACACTTGTTAAAGATTACTTTTTTGTCATTACAGCGAATAATTTCACTAATGTGCTCTGAGAGAAAAAAATTGCTCTATTGAAAAAACTATAAATAACTACATATCTACATTCTATTCAATTGGAGGACATTTCCTTGGGCACAAGACATGTTTTCTCGAAAAAATGTCCTGCAGCGAAAGTTGAAATATTTTTGCTCGAAATATAGTCAGAACAATCTATTTGACTGAAAATCTAAATCTGTGTTGACAGTTGTCTCATTATGCACCATACAATTAATTAGCATTTCACTCATTATTCATCATTAAGCAGGAGATAGAGTCGAATTGTCAGCAAGCGAGAGAATTAATTTCAGAAAATCAAATATTCGTTCATTTATTCACATTCACATTTATTCATTCATTTGCCTCAACCTATAGAATGACTCCAAGTAATCCGCATTATCAGACAGGAATGTCTTGATTTTCCTGAGTATGAGCAAATATTCTTAAATCTGTTTTTGTCAGGGCAAATTGCTTTCTTAGTGTAGAAATAGATATTGGAGTATCGGCGCAAGTGAATAAATAATCTTTAAGAAACCGTTTAATATTTCGATAAACTATTCTTTATTAACACGAGGAAGACACGTCTTTACTAGAGGAGAGAGAAACACGAATAAAGGTTAAGATTTATAACACAAGAGAATACAGTCCTTTTCCAAATTTCAACATATGTTTAGCATTAAACTGTTCTCGAAAATGAAAAATGAAATGATTGCAAACTGGTCCCTTTTCTGTGACTATTTTCCCGCAGTATGTGTGTGATAAATCTTTGTCGAGTAGTTTTTGTACAACAATGAAGGATCTGTACTCAAATATTCCAACAATACACTTTATAATTTAATTGATACACATTGAAATCGCATTATTCTCATAGAAAATTTGATACATATTCTCACTTTCGAGTAAGCAAATCCAAGCACCTATTTTAATAATTTATCATAACTTATGTGGTACAAAAATGGAAAAAGAGAGGAATTTAGTTAGGTGTACAGCGCATGCACGAGTTAGTTTACGTTATGAGGTACAGCCGTAAAACATATTAAAAGAACCACAAAAAAAGGAAAGAAGGCTAAGAACTACCTTGAATATTATCACTTGGTCTATATTTTTTCTTTGTCATTCAGTGAAATAAGGTAGTCATTAGCAGCAAGAATGAGTAATTTTCACGTTCCCTTTATATCCTAACACACAATTTCTCACATTTGGAATTACTTT